CATGCTGTTCCGACTGAGCCAGCCAGGCACCCTTGGCCAAAAATATTTTTTAGTGTAATTCATCCTATTAACACCATAAAGGAGAAAAATCATATAATCATCTCATATGCAGGAAAGGCACTTAACAAAATGCAGCACCTGTTTGTGATTAAAACTCTTGTCAAAATAGAAGTGGAAAGAAACTTCCTCCATTTGATTTAGGGCATCTATGAGAAACGTTCATCTAACATCATACCTATAGGTGAAATATAGAATACTTTCTAAGACTGAGAACTTTATAAGGTGTTCACTCATACCAGTTCCATTCAACATTGTATTGGACCTGCTAGCCCATGCATTTAGGCAAGAAAAATAAATAAAAGTTATTTAAATTGGAAAGGAGGAAGTAAAACTATCTTTATTCACAGATGACATGATTGTGTATGTAGAAAATCTAGGGGAAACCTCTCATATTAGAACAGTGAATTTGGCAATGTTGCAGGATATAAAGGCAATATGCAAAAAACAATTGTATTTCTATATACAGATAATTACAAAATGAAATTTCACCCCTCAAAATTTCTACCTTCCATTAAATACTAGAGAACAATTCAGCCATGTTCTTTGCAACTTTGTCACAAGAATTGCCTTTTCTCCAGTTTCCAATTACCTGTTCTTCATTTCCAGCTGAGACTTCACCAGAATGGCCTTTATGTGCATATATTTCTACCATCATTCTGTTCATGATTATTGATGTGTTCTCTAAGAAGATGGAAGCTTTCTCTCCAGCTCTCCTCTTCTTTCTAAGCTCTCAGCCGAATTGCCTCTAAAATTTCTCATTTCTAGCATGCACCTTGGACTCCTCCAGCCTCCCCCCCACCCACAGTTCCAAAGCTGATGCCACACTTAGGTACTTGTTACAGCAGCACCCCATTTCTTGGTACCAAAATCTGTATTAGTCTGCATGAGTTGCTATGACAAAATACCACAGACTGGGTGACCTCAACAACAGAAATTCATTTGCTCACAGTTCTGGAGGCTGGGAAGTCTGAGATCAAGGTCTGGCAGGGTTTGGTTTCTGGTGAAGGCTGTCTTCCTGGCTTGCCAGTGACAGCCCTCTTGCTGTGTCCTCACATGGTAGGGAGAAAAGGCTGTGGGGAGAGAGAAGAGAAAGTGGGGAAGGGGGGCGCAAGGTAAAAAGGAGAGGGAAGAGAGCTCTCTGGTCTCTCTTCTTGCAAGGAAATTAGTATGATTCTATCAGGGTTCTATCTCCCCCCCATCACAGTCTTATCCTTATGACTTCATTTAACTATAATTACTTTGATAAAGGCCTTATCTCCAAATACAGCCACACTGGGGATAAGGGCTTCAACATAAGAATTTTGAAGGGACACAAACATTCAGTTCATAATAGCACCTTTATGGGGAAAAATTCAGCAGTACTTTCTGAAAAAATCCAAGCAGCAGAAAAAGCCTGAAAAAGCAGAATGTACTTAATACATCTTAATGTTTTAAGTCAGTATTTTCATCTCTTTCCCTTATATTATATTCTCTCATTTAAAACAAATGAACAAATGTTCCTGTTAGGCTTGTGTTTCACTGGTCCAAGCTGTTTTTGCACTGCCTGCAAGATAAAATGATGCTATTTGAGGTTTTAAAATGCCCACCATTTAATATGATCCAGGAATTCTATGCCAAGGTTAAAAAAAATGATGCTAATGACTTGCTCTATTAATTGCCTGTTCTGTGTTGGGTATCATGACAGGTGCTGGGAATGCAGGAGGAGTAAAACCCGGGGGCTGTCCCCAAAGAACTTACAGTCGGCCAAGGACATGGAACCATCCTTTCAAAGTGTCTTTCCCAGGAGCAGTAAGAGGTTTATACCGTCTTCCACATTCTCTTATCCAGGTGGCTGGTTAGAAAAGCAGCTATGGTCAAAGAATAGTTTTCCAAGGGAGGCTCTACCCTCCACATAGCACCGTACTGAATATACATACGGTCCGTGCCAAGCTGTGAAGCAACTGGATGTGTGCAGTATCTATTTTAAATAGAAATGGAAGTTTTGTGTTTGTGCCACTTAAACATTCTTCAGTTCACTCCATGATGGCCTTGACCATTGGGGTAACCACATTAGGTTCATCAAGTAAGTTATAAGGGACAGCCAGGTAAAACAGTGTTCTTATAAAAAGGAGAAGAACCCAATGCCACTCTACCCACAAAATGCTGCCTATTTGTTTTTTTCTAAAATATCATTCTAATCTTCATTTTCTTATAGAAAGGATGTTTTCCCAAGAAACGTTTTTAAAACTGTCATTTTGCCTCCGAGGTATATGTAAGCAGCGCCGTCTGTGGTTTTGTGACATCAGAAGCATCCTGAATAAAACAGCATATTGCAACTCGCAGGGAGACTTTGCATCTCTGCAGGACAAGTGTCATCTGAAAAGCTTCTAGGCATGCAGGTAAAATTTTGACACTAAAACTTTAACAGGAGTTTTTCTAGACTTAAAAAAATCCACAGAGAAACAAAGTCAATTAAATTTTATTACAACCAAGAATATAAAATAAATGCAATGTAATTTATTTTCGTTTTAACAGTCACTTCAAGAAGAATGTCAGGACAACTCAAAGGCGGGGAAACACTCGGGCTCCAAAGTGGCTGCTCTCCTACCCCCCACGGAGCATGCCTTGCTGAGGGGCAGCCGGCTCTGAGCGCACACCTTGCGCCAGAGTGTGGGAAGCATACATGGTCATCTCTATCATCATAGAAAGAGGGGTGCGTGCAGAAAATGGCTGAAAGAAGAGACAAAGACAGGTACACTCCACAAATAGGAATTATGGGAATTACAAACTAGGCAGTTTAGAAAGGATATACTACATAACATATATAAAAAGTACTTTAAATTGTTGTTAAAAAGGACATCTTCAGTCCAGATTTTGTGTAATACTTTTAGTGTCTACACAGACAAATCTTTAAAAAAATTAAATAGTATTAATTTACTAAATATTTAGGAGATAACAGTGCATTAAGGGTTTTTTTCATATAATACATACATATCACTCCTTTGCAGTGATAGCATAGAAGAGTAGGTATGGCCTTAGGTACAACACATTTTTTTTAAAAATCCTAAAACAATGAACATTGCTTTATATGATATCTGTGACTACTCTTGAAGATGATGGGGGCCTAAACTGCTATGTTTGATATAAAATATTACTTATACTTGAATCCTTCAAGCCTCCTTTAGGTTAACTGCTATTTTATTGCCTTTCTCCACTCCCTAGAAAGATATCACCAGAGAGCTCAGGATTTGCAATTTTCATAGAATTCTTCCTTCATTGTATAGTTTCTGCCACATCATTTTATTCAAAGCAGATTAAGCTGCAAATCTTACTGTCCGACGATGTTTCCTTTTCCCTTGAGCAGAGAAAACAGCATCATTTCAGAGGTATACACCCAGCAGTTGCTTCACCAGGAGTGAGGCAGTGAACATGTAGGTAAACGTCGTCCCTTTCCATTCTTCAATGTAAATTAGGTTTAGAAGAGCGAAAAAGTAGTGCAGAAGGCCAAAGTTCTAAGTACTAAAGTTTTAAAACCACACAGATATAAAAATATACATGCCCTTGGTTTTCATAAGTTACTGCACGATCTACTTTTATCACAAGGATTGCTTCAGCCTCAAAGTAACAGCCCTGCCACCAGGCTACCTTCCCCTTGAGCTCAGCTCCCCTGAAACTCTAGAATCCCTTTTCCCAAACACACACCTCACCAGAAAGCTAATTCAAAAACTGATTTGTAATATGGAAGGCAAAGAACCTTCACTTGTATTCCTTCCTTCCTTTCAAATAACCTCCCTTGGTTTGGGTGTTCTCATGGACTGAGGGGGGTGGGGGCCCTTCCTGCATTCTCAGGGAACAAGACAGTAATATGTTTTCAGAGAGGAATGAGGTCATCTGGGGACCACAAAGGTAAATTTTAACCTCAAAAAGCTTCACAGATCTCCCTCGAGGTCCCACAGTTTAGGGTCCAAAAGAAGGTTAGAGGCTTTGTTCCCCTTCACAGGGAAAAGGGAATCATGAGCCAAAATTATTTCAAGGGTGCTGGGCCCAACTGGGCATCCCCAACTCCGAGGCAAGAACAAGAAGAAAAGGGCCAGTACCAGCACAGTGACCAGAATAATGGGGATATCTGGCTGTATCCTGGAGAACACTGTGGACTAGGAAAAACGGATGAAATCCCCTCATGGTTTCTCTATCAGTTCTGCCAATAACATTAGCTATCTACAAGGAAAGGAGGGTAGTTCTGTGATTATATAAGCACATATCACAAAAATAGTGTATCAAAGTTGCTTATAAAGTATTCAGGGGCATGGTATTTTGGTCTATGCATGTAGGTGGGCTTTCCTCTTATTAAATATAAGTGCCCCCCAAGGGCAGCAACAGAGCTTCTGTTTTCATTGTAATTTCCCACAACCACTTAAGGAGTGCGTTCTCCTTATCAGGGTCACCCAACTGTTGCTGAAGGCTGCTGTGAACATTTCAGATCCACACTAATGCCTGTTGTGATAGTTAATCACTGGCTTTCTCTAAGGTAGATAGAAACCTCTGGATAACACTGTTTCTCACACGGCAGAATTTGGAATAGTAAGTCTATCCAAGTGAGTTTAGAAGTAAACAAAAGGACCTTCATACTCTTATAAGCCACTCCTCTCATCCCAGGAGAACTTACTGTCAATGGAATGGATCCTAAGCTCCTTAAGGACAGGAAGTGTGTCTTGCCCTTTGAGTCTTCCGGCCAGCCTGGCACTGGGCACGTGGTGAGGGTGCAGGGAGCATCTGATGACCCATAACTCCGGACAGTGAGGCTTCAGGGCACAGGATAGAACTTTATACAGGTAGCTATGTTATGCAAAGGGCTATTAATTTCCCATTAAAAAAAAAAACGGAAGGGGTGAATTACCATTGAGACGATCAGAAATTCCTTCCAATGGAGCAATGCCGACTGTTTCATCTTCGATGTTCATGAGTGTCACTATATAGCTTTTATTATTAATAAGCATTATTATGCTGAGATCAGTAAGGTCCTTGCTGGCTACAGTATCACATTAATAGTGCAAAATGTATACTGGCTTCTGTCTAAAATCTTATTTTGCTTGTGTATGGACCCAGAGTATCATAACCAGGTAGATAAGTTCACAAAGAATAGTTTTAAAAAAATGCATATAACTTGCATATACAACAATCAGCTATTTCTTCTAGCTCAAGAAAACATTTAAAACAAGGCTGGTGCTGCTGGCAGCATTCAGAAGAACACAAATTTCTTGCCCTTACACTACAATGGGAGGTCTAAGTCTTTACATTTCCTGTGATTCTGGGGAGTGAGGGGCTCCTTTCACCGGCTAAGAAAGAACTCAGCCTCTAATTCATAGATCGTGGAAATGCAAATATGCACTTTATCTAGTATAGTCGTGTATACTATCTGCCCATAGTTTTTTAGGCACAATTATTAAGTTTTCTCCTAGGGGCAAAGAAAGCATTCAGTGCAATGAAAAGATTCTTGATAGAACTAAGTTTCAGTAACAACAGCTAAATTATGCATACATAATACATACTTGAATCATGAATAAAACCTAAATTTTTAACATGCTTTAAAAATAGTCACTCTATGTCTAATGCAAGTATGAATGCAGAACGCTGCTCTTTATTTTAAAAGCAGATTAATTTCCAAATTAATTTGCAGGCTTCTATTTGAGTACTCTTGATTATGTAAGAAAGTTACTCAAGCTAACCCCAACGTGAAGAAACCAACAGTTCTTTAGAGAAGCCAACTTTATATACAATACACACTAAAAGCTTTTCCTTCAAAGGTAAGTAACACATCCTTTGATCAACATTACTCCTTAAAGAAACCCTAGTGCAGTTAATACTCTCTTCTGCTTTCTGGTGTGGGGCACCAGAGGGCTGCAGTTCATCAAAGCTCTTGAAACCCTTTTTAAGGTAGACTTAGCTACATGAAGGTTAAAACAAGAATTCTTAAGTACTGAATACTCTTCAGAACAAGGTGATTCTGGGAACTACGTTCCATATGAATGACTGATCATATAAAAACTAGCACATACTTCAGTTCTTTGTAGCATAAAGCATAGTAACTGTAAAGATCTAGGCTGTTTTTGGTTGTAAGTTCCCTCTGTCCCACCATTTGTCTTTTTTTAGACCTTCCCTGAAACTAGATAAATAAAAACGTAATAGTAAAGTACTTTGGGACAGTAACAATTTCTGTTTAAGACTTTCATGAGCAAAACAGTCATATTCTGTGAAAACAACGTAGTGCTTTAAAAGGTGCATTTTTACCTGTGTTGCTAGATCAGTTCATGAAGTATAAAACTATACACCACTGGAGTCCTGTGTCTAAAACATTAAAATCCTATTAAAAGAGCTTTGAAAAGATAAATCATAGTGATTGCTACAGCATGAGAAAGGTGCACCAGGAAATCCTTCCAAAAAATGCTGAAGGTTACAGAAGTTAAGTGCTGGGATTAGATCAGACTCTGGATCAAAGTCACAATGGAACACATGCAGGGAAAGGGTGTTGGGGAAACTTCACAAAAATCTTCTTTAAGCCCATAAAGAAGAGACATCAGTCAGTCCTGCAAAATGCTCAGGATGGAGTCTTCCTCCTAAGTGGATGAGTTTTGAACGGCATCATCGTTTGCATTTTTTGGTTCTTTTCAATGCGGACATCATATTGCTGGAGTCTGTGCTCTGGGCCGCGGCGGTCAGTAGCGGTGGCCCTGGTGAGACGGGTGGTACTGTGCGCTCTGCTGGGAGGAGGACGAGTAGCCGAGTGTGCTCTGGGACTGAGAGGATCCCTGAACACTGCTTTGGTAATTCAGGCGCGAACTGGAGTGCTGGGGGAAGGAAAGGGCAAAAGGGAATCACTGCGGGAGGCAGAGAAGGGCTGAGGGTGTTCATCACGACAGGACGGGGCGCAGGAACCATTTTCAGAGGCTCCTGGTTCAGAGTGACGGTAGCGGACAGCTGATGTAAGCTTGTTAATACATTTTGCGTACTTGGAACCACAGCCTGCCACCACTGTGACAACATGTTTTGGCAGGCATGAAGTTTGGCTGGATTTCTTTGGGGGCATAAGCCGCAGTGGCAAAGAAAGGCAGAAGGGAAATGTAGGCTGGCCCCCTGCTCTTGATACTGACTAACTCTGCTTAGTTGTTCTTTGTGTAACTGAGATTTGCAAAAAAGAACGCTCAATTTGGCACTGAATTAGTGGTATTCATAATGTATACGGATGTGCTGTTAATTTCCTCATTATAAATAACAAAGCGATGATTAAGAAGTCATTTCTAGAGAAGAGAATTTTCAGAGGTGGAGGCTCCCACACAACAAAGCAAGGCAGGGTGGGCAGGGTGAGGGGGCAGTAAGTGCGTTGTATAAACCTCAGGTTAACATTTAGAATGAAAAAAAATGTTTATACATGAAAATGCCCTCAAAAGAAAGCAGAGGCAAATGTATTTTAGTTCAATGTTTTTTTTATTACCTTAAATGAAACATTCATCTTCATGGTACCAAGGGCAAATATGAAAAATATGTTTAAAAAATCATCTATAGAATAAGAACATGGTGCCTCGTTAGAGATAAGCATAGCTGGAACCAGTGTCTTTGGCTAAGCTCGGAAGGCTGGTTTTTCCCGTGAGCAAAGTGGGAAAGATCTTACTAATAAAACCATTACTTGGAGTAAAAAATGTAAATGACCTTGAGGTGGCACCAGGGGTTTAAGGAAGGACAAATCAGCAGGGTGCCCCCAACTCAGTGTGCAAAGGCTGCCAAACCAAACTTGCAACATCTGGTCTAAGACAGCAGGGCCATAAGATAGTCTCGGTGAAAAACAGCTCTGCTTAGTTCCTTCCCCGTTACAGAACTCTGGCTAGTTGCAGAGAGTAAGATGGAGTCACTCATGTCAAGCAGGGGCCTGTGTCGAGCAATGACACAGCAGCTAAGGGGACTGTAACTCCCAGATATTGCCGAGACCAGCACCAGTGGATGACACCTCAGAACTGATTATCAGCAGACAGAGGGGGGATTGGCAGGGGCCTAAGACTGATTAAATCCCTTTAAAAAGGGAGAATTTTTGCAGCAAACTGTCCCACTCCTCAGACACTGACCCTTCTATCTCCAACCACTTCAAAAAGGCACCTGTAGCCGAAGGCTCTGCCCAACTGATCTCTGAACAGAACTAAGATCCTTCACTGCTTGAACATCCGAAGCACGAAGTGCCGAGAGCTGACCGGGACCAGACCGAGGCCTTATCTCAACTCTGTGCCCACAGACTGACTTCTCATTTGGTTCGATAACTTCCTACCCCTTATGCTACCTCGTTTGTTGTGTGACTTGGCTGTGTTCTGCTCTGTGTGCCAGGTAAGGAGCCAAGTTAATCATGTGGTGAAAAGTCACTGAGTTTGGAACCCTGCACCTGCTTTATAATGTTAATCTTGCTTTATGACTGAATAAAGCCAGCACTGTGGCAAGACGCAACTGTGTTTGTGCCTTCATAGCGTGCTCATGACACTAGATGTGTTAGTGTAAGAAGCCTTTCAGGCTTCCAAATTCACATGTTTTATTTTTAAGTTAATTATGAAAAACATATTCTTGCCACTCACATGACCTACAATTGTTACACTGGCTATGATTATTTTACTTTTGCAGATTAAATTCAGCATGAAATTTCCTCCATACTAGGCAAAGAACAAACATGTTGAAATGTGAGTCACAGGTAGGTGCAATGGGGTTCTCCCACCCCCACATCATACTGATCTCTCCAACTAAGTAGCTGAAATATCTACCCATTCCATAGATACGCTGAACATTATTTGAATTTTATTATTTGTTATTTAGTTTAGAGAAGAAAACCACAGGCACCAAATGGTGTCACTCAGGCCAAGTCACCAAACCAGAGCTTAATACCTAATCTAACTGCAGTTTCAACTTTCCCCAGAAATGTAGTTTACCAGGTCAGTCAGGAAATTTTCTGATGGTTGCCAAAGAGTCTGCCACCTGGGCCCTTTCCATTCCCCCAAAGGAAGATGAGGTAATTAGCACAATCAGACCCCTGCTCTTTCCCCCTAAGGGAAAGTGACCCAGCCAGGAATGATCTTTTCTTCTCTTTTGCTAATAACTTTCTTGCCCTGCCCTCCTTCCTATAAAAACCTTCCATTTTGCACAACTCCTGGGAGCTCCCCTCTGCTTGCTAGATGGGATGCTGCCCAATTCACAGGTCATTTAATAAAGCCAATTCGATCTTCAAATTTACTCTGTGGAATTTTGTTTTTTAGCCAGCAGAACCAGTGGAAGTGCTATTGTGTACCCCTCTGCTTACAGGGACTCTTCTAAAGGAAGTTTTCAGAGAAGAGGTTGTGTGAAAACACATTCGTCTGCAGATATATTCAAAATGTAAAGCCAGTTGAGGCAACCACTTATTATGTCTTTCTCGTTAATGTTTCTCTTGATTCCCGTTCCTCCTCAGTGAGTTTATGACTCCCTTGCCTGTGGTTTTGTTTTCTATTATCTCCATCATCTTGCTCCTCTTCCACCAGCACCCTGAATATCTATATCTACAAGTTTTAAGGGTGTTCCCCCCCTTTCTTAGATCTTAGCTGGTTACTTTCCTTGAAAATGAGGGTTTAAAAAGAAAGAAAATGAGGGTTTTGTGGGGTTTCGTTTGCAGTATTCCCTATGGTTTTCACAGATGTTTTTACCTCTCTCTCCCCAAATACTAACAATCCTTAGACTTTTTTCCCTTTAGTTTCCCAAATTAGTAGTACAACCTGCAGAGGCCGCTTGTAGACAATAGGCTTGAGCAATGAAACTTGATCAAGGCAAAAGGGCCCACAGCGACCCCCTGGCTGCTGAACACAGCCCCCTCCGGGGACCCACCTCAAGATATCCATAGGCCCTAGCTGACCAACGGGCTACTTACAACCAGGCACAGTCACCAAAAAAGGGAGAATTCCATAGTCATCATACCTCCTCACCTTCCCGCTTTAACTACAGCCCCCGCCCACAGCCTCCTGGCACACGGCCTCTGCTCCGCGGTCCTGCCCGCCGCTCTCTCGCACCGTATTCAGTAAACTTCTATCTCCTTTGTTACCCTTTCATGGCCTGGAGCACCAGCTTCCACCCATCCCCGCCCCACACTCGGGGAGCCCCCAGCCCATCAAGAGAGACACCACATTTAGACAGATACCACACAATTATAGGGTTTTTTTTATCTTAATAAAAAGTATTTTCCAGTCTCAAAAATACTTCAGTGAGATTTAACGGTGATTTCTGAAAAGTCTCAAGCTTAATCCCTTTCTATGTTTACATGGCTACTGACTATTTCCTCTCGGTGACAGCAAATCTTTCTCAAGTATGCAGCTTATTTTGTCCAAAATAAGCCGCCGCTCCGCTCTCTTTCAGTTGCTTATCTGTTATCTTTTTCTGACCCAAAGCTGACAGGCAGCTGGAAGGGTAATATGAGAAATCTTCTTTGAGGAGGGAGAGGCCTGCCTCACCTCCCCTCCTCAGGAAGTCCGGAAAAACAAGTCAAGAAATGAAATGTTTTGCAATTACATGAAATATGACCAAAACCTTCATTTTCATATAATGACCTAGAAATAGGATTGTACCATTTGTACAAACTTTAGAGTCAAGTACTACTTAAGTCTAAAAGGCTCTATTATAAAATTGATTTCTGGAGCGCCTGGGTGGCTCAGTCGGTTGAGCGTCAGCCTTCAGCTCAGGTCATGATTCTGGGTTCCTGGGATCGAGCCCCTACTGGGGCTCCCCGCTCAGCCTGGCGTCTGCTTCTTCTGCTCCCTCTGCCCCTCCCCGCTGCTCGTGTTCTAGCTCTCGCTCTTTCATTCTTTTAAAAAAAAAAAAAAATCCTACTTCCCATTTCATAAAACGTATGGCCGCTAGCAAGAACAAAAGCGAGGGGTACCTGATAATCTGACGGCATAACAGGCCCGCCCGAGTTTGCGCCCGAGGGCCCCAGGCGGGGCTTCTTGTTCGGAGGCACCTGATTGAGGCCCGAGTCCTGACTGTGCTGCAGGCCGGCCCCCGCAGCCCCGGCGCCGGCCCCCGCCCCGCCGGCAGTCCCGTTGGTCTGGGTGCTGTTCTGCTGCGGCGCGGGAGCCTGCGCGGGGGCCGCCGCCTGCTGCGGGGGCGCTGTGGGCTGCTGATGTTGGTTCTGCTGCTGCTGCTGATTCTTGGAAGAAAAAGAAAAAGGCAAACTCGGTATGAAACTACATTAACAGGCCAGTGCTTTCTTTTTCTTTTCCTTTGTAACAGGACATTACTTCGATTACTGGATATGCACACGTGACTGCGACCAAGCTGGAGAGTGACCTAGGTGGGACACGGCAGTGACTACAGCCGGGGCATGCAGCATCCCCAAAGGTCAGGGTACTGAGTCCTGAACAGGTTTCATTCTCTGAGGTTCATTTAAGATTGCGCAGTCATCCTCCACCCCAGTCGCAGACACCCCACTGGAGAGCATGCGGCACCCAGGAAGTAGTTCTGCACGCATGGACCCAGCGGTACTGGTCTCCATCATGAGTTTGGAAAAGTAGAGGGATACTGGCAGGGCCTGATATATCCAATTACAAGCAAAGAAGAGAAAGATGCTTTGAAAGCAGGCTGCTATAAAGTGATGGTGTTGACACCGAACAAACAAAATGCAACAATTAAGAATCCTGGAATGGGGCGCCTGGGTGGCTCAGTCGTCAAGCATCTGTCTTCAGGCTCAGGTCATGATCCCGGAGTCCTGGAATCGAGTCCCACATTGGGCTCCCAGCTCAGCGGGGAGCCTGATTCTCCCTCTGACCCTCTCCCCTCTCATGCTGTTTCTCTCTCAAATAAATAAATACATACATACATACATGCATAAATAAATAAATAAATAAAATCTTAAAAAAAAAAAAAGAATCCTGGAATAAAATGGGCTCTAAAAGAAATCAGAAGTTCATTTTTCTGTAAACTTATTATATTTCAAATTGCAAAGTACATCTGCAGTCACGTCAATACATACTTAATTAAAGGCAGTTAAATACGTAGGAATCAGTAAATTATACTTCCCTAAATTCTCTTTTTGCCTCCCTTACTCTCTGGAAGTGAAGTGTACCGTGTAGCTTATACCTTGTCACCTTTCTCTTCAGGTTCATCTTCATTAAGGAATTCTCGTTTGGGGTATGGAATCTGGCAGCCAGCAAACACACTACAAAATTATTAAAAAAAAAAAAAAGAATATACATCATGACCTAAAATCTACAATATCATTGACCTTAAATGTTAACTTAAAATTCCACTTTTTTTTCTTAACATATTTCCCACTCTTCATCTATAGCTAATATTTGCTGGATGCCTCCCAAGACAACTTAATTCAAGCAAATAAGAAAAGAATTTGTGGTACGCCTGGGTGGTGCAGTCAGTTAAGCATCCAACTGTTCATTTCAGCTCGGGTCATGACCTCAGGGACATGAGATTGAGCCCTGCATTGGGTTCGGACCATGCTGGGTGTGGAGCCTACTTAACATTCTCTCTCTCCCTCTCCAAAAAAAAAAAAAAAAATTGTTGTCTAAGTTTTATACTAATTGTATAAACTCATCTGGCTGACTGATCTAAAAGTCCCAACTGTTCTCAGCTTTAGTTTTTTTCTGTAGTACTGAATAATGGTCATTCCTAAAATACTTGTTTCATTCACACCTCACTATAGCTTTGCCTGTTTCACAATACAGGCCGTTTCTTGAGTACTTTTTCTCCAAGGGAGTATTAATGGAGAACTTCAGTAACACTGCAGTAAAGTGCTTCTCTTACTTTCAGCCACCATCTGACACCTTCAACCCGGAGCAAAGGATACAGAAAATGTAGGATACATACTCTAATGTTGGCAAGGGGTCCTCCTGAAAATAGGGATCCTGCAGAGCCTGCTCCGAGGTAATTCTCTTGGTTGGATCCATAGTAAGGAGTTTCTGAAGCTAGAGTAACACATGAGAAACTGATAGCACATGGAAAGATTGCTTATAAATCAATGTTTTGACTTTTGTATAAATGTCTAGCAGGATTAGTATCAATGCCATTTTGTAGAGCTCACCATGCTATTAGTACACTACACACATTGATGTGAAATTGGCAGAAATCATTAGCGTTAAAGCCCTTTAAAAGTGTAACTTTTTTCCCCTGCTGATAAATCATTGGAAAAAATTAAGTCTAGAAGTCAAGGGTAACATCTCAAAAGAAAAATATTTCATTTTGCCTCAGCATCCACCAATTTCTTTTCTTTCTGAAGAGGAGGAATAGCTAGGGCAATTCCACGGTGAACAGGGACAAGGTGGCCTGTGCCACAGATCCGACGTCCCCGTCTGGGAGAGGCACCTACCAGGAGGAACACTTTGCTGTCAGGTTTGACCTTGTGTTTCTCCATGTACTTTATGAGGCTACTGTTGGCGTACCTGCAAGAGGACATGACAATCACACATCACTGGGAACACTCACACATTTTTTTCCCATAAAATGTTTCTCACTGAAGTACAGTTTACACAATCTGTATTTTTTAATGGAAAGCTCCCAGATTGGTTTTCCTATAAGATACATGTTTAGGCCATTGTTTTTTCTGCTTAATAAAAGAACACATAACCGAATACTGGCAAATGTGTGAAGAAGTAGGAACTGTTAAACACCCTGCGCAAGAGTTTCTATTGTTACAACAGCTTTACAGCTTTGGAAAACAATTATACATTAACCATTAGAGTTGAAAATGTGAACAACCTAAAATCTAGCAATTCCTTTCCTAGGTAGGTACTCTAAGAGATTCCTTTGTGCATGTATATCACAGGATACATGAACAAGAATGTTCTTAGCAGCATTTCTGTAGTGAAAAAAACTGTAAGCAACACAAATGTCTAACAGTTAAAGAATGGCTACATTGTTATATATTCACAGAATGGAAAGTTTCACAATAGTACAAATAAATACAGAGGTTGAGTGGGGAATAAAAGCAAATAAAAGCAGACTATAATTTATAAAAAGTTCAAAGATATATTAAACTGAAACAATAATCCACTTAGAGATACATACATCTGTAGCAAAACCAGAATAAAAAATGTGGAATGATAAATACAAATTCAGAACCATGTTGACCCATTGGGAGGGACATGAACAGGAAGGCAGGGTACACAGAGCACTTCAGTAATCTTAGTAATGTTCTATTTCTTCTGTTGAGCGGTGAGTAGAGGAGTATTTGTTTTATTATTCTAAAAAGACTACGTATCGTGTTTTCATTGTATGTTCTTTCCTATATATGAAACATTTCACATTAAAAAGGCCAAAAAATAAGTAATATATATGTTTATGGTAGAAAATTTAGAAAATACAGAAAAGTATAGAGAAGAAAACTGAAATCACTCAGAGGCCAGCCATTCAGTGATTAAAAAAAAACAACAAAGCACCCAAACACTGTTGAGATTTTGCTAATTTTCCTTTGGCTTTTTTGCTATGTATCTATGTATGATACGAACACAGAGGGGTTTTTGTTTTGTTTTTATAAAATTGGGATCATACTATACAAACTGTCCTACCTCTTTTCACTTAATAATAATAATGTTTCATAAACATTTTTCCTTGTCTAATGCTACCTAAACTACTAATTTGCAGTGGTTGTATATTCCTACTGTTACTGATGTTGTTTGTTTCACCATAGTTAAGAAATATGGGTCCTTGTAGGTTAATCTGACCCGCACGGTAGGGAGACAATGCTGCACAGCAGGTGAGAATCAGGGACCCCTTCTAGACCCTGACTCCTGGCATTTACCAGCTGTGTGATCTTGGGTAGTTCGTTAACCCCTATGAAAGCCTTAGGTTCCTCCTCTGGAAACTGAGGATTATAATCATACCTATTTTACAGAGTTGTTGTGAGGACCGTATGAGAAAATGTGGGTCAGGGCTTAGCACCACGTCTGACACATAGTAAGGACGTAGTAAGCCATTTGTGGCTGCTCTGATTGCTTCCATAGGATAAATTTTTGGATTTATTAGGTCAAAGGATATGTACATTTCAAAGCCATTTTTATGTGCCCTAGAACCTTGCTACACAAAGCTGGCCCTCAGCTCAGCAGCAGGGCCCCCAAGAGCCTCCACGTTTAACAAGGTCTCCAGGTGATTTGTATGTACGTTAAAGTTTGAGAAACATTGTGCTCAGCAGTCACATACAAGGGAGAGTGCCCATTTTATCATACCCTTGCCAACCCTAGGTATGTTCATTTTAAAAATCTTTAACATGTGTATTCATTTAAAATTTCCTCGGAGTGCCTGGCTGGCTCAGTCGGTAGAGCACATGACTCTTGATCTCAGGGTTATTAAGTTCAAGCTCCACAGATGGGTACAGAGATTGCTTAAAAATAAAACCTTAAAGAAAAAATTTTTTTTACATCTTTTCCCCCAATACCAGGAACATTTTTATTAGCAAGGTAGCCACTAAGTTTGTTAATGGGAAGAAATTTTAAAGTTTATATAGAAATGGAGTTTGTCTACATATATGTCTTTGGTCTTCATGTTAAATCAACTGATTTCTTGGGTTAACTCCAGATTCTAGGTTATTTATTTCTATCATAATATCGGACCATGCTTATTGGAACATTCAATTTTAAAGTCAAGTTAGAGACTTCCTTTTAATTCTACTTTCACCTTGCCTTCTACTGAGCTAATAAGAGCTCTGGGAAGATTACAGAAACTTCTATTCACTATCCTTCCCAATTCACTAAAGAGTAATTTTTTTGGTCCTTTTCATCTGATACAATGAAAGCAAGTTATTTTGCCTTTTACGTCATTTCAAATCATGTTTTCTGAAATTTTTAATTATATTTTACTTTAGTGACTCGTATGTACTCCATTAGATTTAGCTAATTTTTAATACAGTCCTTTCATCTTATGTATCAATAGCCTGCTTTCACAGGGGTAGAACCATTTGCATAAGACATATGGGCTCTTATCACTGAGCTTTTCCTATTACTTTTCCAACTGAATTTCTTTTATCTTCTAAAACTTCTCTCCTTTTATTTCTGGTTACTGTAAACAGTATCATTTTATGTGAAAATTTTCCTTTGGTCTTTAAACACTAAGATAAATGTTAAGTGCTTACATTAATTTTCTCTATCTTTTACACTATTAGCGTGTCTTCAATTACTTGTACCACTTTCATTAATACCCATTTGACAAGTACCTAATGAGCATGTACTATGTACCAGGCCCTGGGGATACATGTAATGGTGTAGAGAGTAGACATAACCCATACTATCTAGAGGGAAAGGCAGATAAGCATTCAAAAGCAAACTGTAGTGCAAAGTCATCAGTGCGGAGAGAAGCAGCAAGGATGCTACGGGAGAACGGAGGGGGAGGACCTAACTCAGACCTAGAAGGTCAAGGGAGACCTCCGCAGGCAAGTGATGCCTAAGCCAAGACCTAAAGGATAAGCAGAAAGGAAAAATAGGAGTTAATCTGAAGAGTTAAAATGAGTGGGAGGGGGGCGCCTGGGTGGCTCAGTTGGTTAAGCGACTGCCTTCGGCTCAGGTCATGATCCTGGAGTCCCAGGATCGAGTCCCGCATCGGGCTCCCTGCTCGGCGGGGAGTCTGCTTCTCCCTCTGACCCTCCCCCATCTCATGTGCTTTCTCTCTCTCATTCTCTCTCTCTCAAATAAATAAATAAAATCTTTGGAAAAAAAAAAAAAAGAGTGGGAGGAAAGTTCTTCCTAGACTGAAGGAACAGCATATATAAAAACCCAGAGGTCAAATTTTTCAGATTCTTAAAGAAATTCATGATGTCCAGACTATAGAATACAAAGCGGACAGTGGCTTAGTAGATGAATCTGGTGATGTATAAGCCAAAGCTCTATATGCCATCCTAAAGAACTGAGAGCAGTGGTGATTTAAGAGCAACTAGGAAACCAACATGATCCAATTTGCTTTTGGCAATGATTGCAGTACAGACAGTGAGCTGGGGAATAAAGACTGGAGGTAGAAATACCACTTGGAAGGCCACTGCAGGATCCTAAGTGAGAGATGCTGGTCTGGACTGTAATAGTGGCAGAGCAGATGGAGAGAAATACAAAGAACTGACAAGACTTACTAACTGTTTAGACCCCGCAAGGTAAAATGGGAGAGAATGGGATAAGAGAAGGATCAGGGATATCTCAGGTCTTGGGCTTGAACAACTGGGTGAATCATGGAGTCATTTCCTAAGATAGGAAATACAGCGGGAGGACAGTGTGGGAGGATAGATGATGAGTTCAATTTTGGACATGTAACTTGAAGTATTTATGGAACGTTCAAGTTGGGATTCCATAAGGCAATTAGACAAGTGGGTCTGAAACTTGGAAAAGAGATCCTACTCGGATGCATAAACTGGGAGTTATCAGCATAATCAATGGTAAATTGTCGCCAATAAAATGAGAGAAACTGCCCAGGGGAAATGTCCAGAGTGAGAAGAGAGCCCAAGACAGAACCTTGAGCAATATGAGTGTTATCTTTAGGAGACAGAAGAAAAACACTCCACCAGGGACTGTGTACAAGAGGGGCCAAAAATGACTGAGTGCCATTTCCTACTTCTCTTTATCATGTCTGCTTTTGTTCCTACAAGCCATCCTGTCCTGAAATTTTCCTGCTAAGTTGCCCGAAAGAGAACCTCTTTTGCCTTTTTTCCTCTAGGCGTGTGCATTTATAACAAACTCCTCTCACGCTGTCACCTTTATTCTTTCATTTCTGCTCAGTGTACCACCAGTGTGTTTTACTCAGCTTCTGGGCCATGCATTCATCCTTCTGCTATTCTTCCTGGTTGCCTAACCCAGCATTTCGGTCACTAGTCATTATTCAGATAAAGATAAAATCACAGTCGCGGCCTTGAACTCAGCCCTCATCATGCTAAAATAGGAGAGAAGTTCAAACACTATATTGACCCTTAAAATTCTTAAAAGTTTGTAAAATACTACAGCCTAAGCCTCACATGTACGTTACCAACATCTGGGATATCGTCTTTAAATCATAAGCATAATTAATATATTAAAATCTAAATTTCTGGTTTAAATACTAATCTATATCTGGCTTTTAAAAGGGTTAATTTAAATATTCCCATTGAAGTTACTACTTATATTTAATATGAAATTACTTACGTTGTTCTTCTAAAGTCTTTCTGAAGTGTGGGGTATTCTGGCATCTTTCTAATATCTTCCCAATCTTTATCTTACAAAAAAATATCGAATATTGTTATAGAAAATAAGGTTACTTATATAAAAAAATCTACTTATGTTAGCTTAAAAACATACATAAAATACTCAAAATATGCTTTTGAAAAGGAAGTATTTTGAAATATGACTCCAATATTATTCTGGAAAGAAAAATAAATTACCTGCAGGAAACCCCATGACACTAAATATCCGATCTAGTTGATCATGATGAAAGGGATTGCTTGTTTTTATATCTTCCTGACGACAGTGAAAAATAGGTTCTGAAGTCAACAATTCAGCGAATATGCAACCTATTGCCCATATATCTATGAAGGAAGAAAAACAAGTTTTAATACACATTTATTATAGTTCTTGGGTTATAATTCCTGCGTATAATCACAACCTACACATAAAATTACTTTTCAGTGATGGAATATACAAAGTCTGACAACTATATTAAGAAAACATATGTATATATGACATGCAATAGTCGTATCATCACATAACAGATTAAATGCCAAATAAAAAACATTTACTTATAAATTTCCTAATGAAGATACACTTGGGAAACTCAATTTAGCAAGCAATGAATTTACATTTAGGCAAAAGCCTTTCTAACCACTATTAATAATGTAGTCAGTGAAGCATTCAATTATAATCTAATGCAGGGTTAAACACTCATGACCTGATAGACTAAAACAATACCATCATCAGGTAATAGGGATACACTCCTTTAAAGCAATCAAATGCATAATGATAGAGCATAATTTCTGATTTGTGAGTATAGACAGACAGTATAGACCACATAAAATGATTTGGAAAAACTCAACTGTTGTATGCAAGACTACCAACTTCCATTTTTTCAACAAATTGTAAGGTCTAGAAGCTGATAAATACAAGTATCTACAGGTACAGCATGACACCCGTAGAGCTCATTGTTATTTGAATATGTTCACTTGGATTAAGCTGCTCCAACCCTCCAACACTCCAAGACAAAGTTAAAAGTTAAAGTTTCATTAACTATTTTAAATCACCAGTTATAGATTATTCTATTTGGATTTTACACGTTGAAAAACTGTAATTTCAAGTCTGACTATAATATTATATTCACAACGTTTTGCCAAATGTACAGGTGAATTAATTTTTGTAAGATATATATTCACACTTGCCCCCTTAAATAAATGCTATTTAATAGTTTAAAAAAAATAATGCACTGGGGGCGCCTGGGTGGCTCAGTCGTTAAGCGTCTGCCTTCGGCTGAGGTCATGATCCCGGGGTCCTGGGACTGAGCCCCACAGCGGGCTCCCTGCTCAGCGGGGAGCCTGCTTCTCCCTCTCCCACTCCCCCTGCTTGTGTTCCTCCTCTCACTATCTCTCTCTCTGTCAAATAAATAAATAAAAATCTAAAAAAAAATAATAATAATGCACAGACCACAGTATAGTATAGAAAAGCAGTGTTTAATAGCCTACTAATTGTGGGAATCACATTCTGTAGACAAGCTAAATAAGAAAAAAGTCTAATTATATCCATTAGCTAGAATTAGCTAGAATTAACATTGGTATGCTATTTCATAAAACAAACTGCCAAATGAAAAAAAAAACATAGAGTAATATCTTACATAGCTGACTCCATTCAGGAGTGGTTTCCTTTCACATAATGTAGTCTTCTGGATAATGGAAACATATCCCTTCAATAATCGTTTTTTATTACACCATTACCTGCCATCTTAAGAGGCTACAAAATATAATCTTTCTTAATGACTCAGAAGGGTCATCATAAACATCCATCATGAAAGAATAGAGTAATAATACTCTTCAGTGTCTACTTTTAAATTCTTTTCTCTCTCCCGCATCATGTTGTTGTCACTCTTGCCTCTGACACAGTCCAATCTCTCTTCCTGCTGGCTGCCTCTACTACGCAGTCAACTGGGGCTGGTACTGCATGTTCCTGGTCATGCCAGTTCCTGGTTTGCCTTCCATTTAAAGGACAGAAGCCAGGATCTAGATTCCCCTGAGAACCGCCAAGAGAAGGAACCTCAGTGTAGCAGGTAATGTTAAGTTCTGGGGTTTCTTGCCTCATATTAGCCTCTAATTTTAAAGGGTCATCTGGCTCTTGTATCTATACCATTTCTCAGCTCTCATTCCTCTGTCAATGACTTGTTTCTCCCTCCCTCCCTCTACACACACACACACACACACACACACACACAAACGCTGTCACTCCTCTCCCCCTCTAAATGTTACTCCATAAAACTTCACTGATACCAAATCATCAAACTCTTCTTTTATATGCTCTGAATAGAAATAATACTCATTTCTGACATGAACCAGGTATGGAGGAGAGTAAGAACAAGTGAATGTGTAAGTATTATATTTATAATGTCTGCTATGAATATATCTGAAGCCTAAAAATAACTGATTTGGGGATTATTCTTTTTCTGTGTCTTTTTTCCTAATCTCTATCCAGAATGGATAATTGCAACTTGACTAAAATTGGAAATTAGTGATTATATTTTTATCTTTATCTGTAAGTTGGAAACTGGTTTAAATTCAATTTCAGTTGTCCTTGCCCTGAGGAAATAGGAAATATAGTTGATTTCCAATTCATACCCAATTACCTTTATTTCCCCCCAAAACATCTAGTTTTATTTCAATAGTAGAACAGTTAATCAGAAAATAATCACAGAACTGCACTTCTCAAAGTCTGGGCTGTCAAAGTGTGTGGACCACATACACAGAATCATATAATAGCACATATCAAAAATGGGACTTCCTCCCATGGATTTGCTCTATAAGAATCTCTGAGAGTAGGACAGACTTTGGTAGGGAGTCATTTAGTTCAACGGAAGGTTTTGGCTGAATGTGCCTTTTCTTACTGGACACCTCCCTTCTAGATATAGACTGTATGGAGCTTGGGAGGAGCCCAGCGCATGTGGATTTCTACTGTTACCACGTCCTCTATTCGCTGTCCTGTGGGGGGGTTATCGCATCATCATTTCTGCTCTGAGGCACCGCCTGTTACTTCCCAGCTAACAGACCCTTTCTCTGGCGCATTTTCAGTCTCTTCCTACCCCCTGGTGTCCTCTGACACTAAGAGACTTTACTGTTCTCAACTGAGAGGATCTAATAGAACAAGCAGACAATTCTAAAAGTTGCAAAGATACAGCTCCTCAGTAAAAATCACTCACTGGAATGTAAGTAGGGTCAGGCTCTGATTTTAACCCCTCATTCTGAGAGCACTCCATTCCTTCCGTCTGCTTGTGTAGTTCTCCTTTCTGCCGCCTCCACACAGCTGCCATGGTCCGGCCTGATGCCAGTAGCCTGGCCTTGGCAGCCTCTGAATGGGGCCTTACTCTGGGCTCAGCTGCTAGCAGAAGGGTCGAGGGTCGGTCTCCCACTGCCCTACTGTCAAACACTCATAGGCTTCTTCACGAATTTAACAAAATCTTTCAGCAATACTTACAAAGTATTACAAGATTCCAGCACTGTCCTGGCATCTCAATCCTTGGACAAAGTATAAATGTATGCTAGGTGTCAGAGTTTTGCAGAAATCAGATCTCCTGATGAACGAGGACATCACTATGGTTTAATCTTTTTTCCTCCTTTTACCCACAAACAGGTTAATTAGTGGTCTAATCTTTTCGAACGTAGGAACTACCTTTGTAGTTCTTTGCATGCCATCAGGTTTTTTTAAATAAATTTAACAGAGAAAGTCTTGTGCTCATCTATTTTTAATAATTTTATACTTGTAGTGCCTTTATTCAATAGAACTTAACCAAAGCAGCTAAATGTAGTAAAAAAACAAACAAACAAACAAACAAACAACGATATTAGTCTAATACCAGTAAATGGAAAATTCAACAAAAGGAAAATTTCAAGAAATACACCTGGCAGATTTCGGTACCTTAGAGAACTAGCTCATCACAGTGACAGGGCTTTCTACCCTTCTCTATCCTTTTTACCTCAGTTAAAGAAATCTCATGGTTTGAGGAGAGCTCTCTCTTCCTGACCGCCCCAATTCATAGCTGGGCCCTCCGCGGACACTGGAGTGATCAGGTAGCAAAGTCTCTGCTGTCTCCGTTCGGGAGCAGACTTGAAATCCTGCAGAGGGTGTGTTTGGAACAGCTAATCCACCCAGACCCTATTTCCTACTGTGATGGAGAAACCGCCATCCTGATAACGGTAATGGCAGGAGACAGAAAGTAGTCACATTATTTCTGGTAGAGGAAAGGACTGACTGACCGACTTTTCCCCAGATAGAAGGGGCTCTCTTCCACACCACACTCTGCCTGCTTTCTGTTGTTCTTTTTGTGGAGAAAACAATTCTAAACCTCTCTCCAGGTCTTCTGATCGATGGTAGGTAAGTGCAAAATAAAATTTGCACATTATCATTTCCATAGCAACTCAACGGGATCTGATAACTCGATTCCCTAAAAGAAAAATGCTTTCTTCTTTTTAAAAAACCATATTCTCCTATAAAGTGAAAAATCCTGATCTACCAGAATATAATATCTAGGAATATAGAAGATAATAGGACTTTTACAAAGAGATATAAAAGTGGTTTTTACAAAGCAGCTTCATTATTATTATACCATTTGGTATTTATGATAATTCGATGCTATGACACTAAATCATTTTAGACTAACTTACCAATGGCCTTTGTATAATGCCTTGCACCAAGCAGAAGTTCGGGAGCCCGATACCAAAAAGTCACAACTACTGGATCCAAATCTGCCAGTGGCTTTAGAGGAGAATTGAATAATCTGGCAAAACCCATGTCAGCTAAAAAAAAAAATGAAATAAATTAATATATAGCTCAGTTTGGCATGCTACTAGAACCATACAAGGTTGATGACAATAGCCACTAGCCTTATAAAGCAATCCTTTTCCTCCCTTTTCAACCAGGGGTCTGCACCAGGCACCAGATTCCCCCTTCTGAGGTAGATATTATTACTGTGCCTATTTTACTGATAAAGAAACTGAGGCTTAAAGATATTCTGACTTGCCCAAGGTCATAGAGCTAGTAAACACAGGGTCATAATTAGAATCCAGGTCTGACTTCAGACCCCTGGCTTTCAGAAACATTGTAATAATCTTAAATGTTTACAAAATTGAAATAGTCTAAAAGTTTCCATGATTAATTATGGCCTCTGTATGCCTATGCATCTAAAAACTGATGCATCTTAGTTTGGTGTGAGCTGAAGTAGGCTCATGGACACATGAGAGCCGATCTGTACACATCTCTTCCCCATTCTGGGTTCAGTGATGTCATGTTGATGACTTGAAATTGGCTATGATTAGGGAATATCTGCATTATGATAAACAGCAAATGCTACAAATTGGAGCTTTTTCACCCCAGAGAGTCACTGTTGTATAATTACCAGTACATCATAAACATGTTTCCAAGGACATGTAAGAGATTATTTATTATAATTTGTTATAATTCACGATTTAACAAAGGTCTATACCAAAGCTAAGTGATTTAAATCTTAGACGTGTATGCGAGTAGTAAAAAGAATAGTTATTACTATAATAAGTTCCCGGAGACTATCTAATCTTCTTAAGATTTCATAAATAACAAATGCCTTTTATCTATCAAGCACTTTAGAGTTTACAGATGGTTTTCACATATATCATCTATCACTTCATCTAATCCTTATACGAATGCTGGTTTAGTAAGTATTTTGTTCCCCACCTCTGAGATGAAGAATCTAAAGCCCATGGCAGCTAAATGACTTGCCCAAGGTCATAGGGATAGGAAGGAAAAATGCCCAGTATTCAAACAAACCATGTTATAATTTAGCAGCTATATCCTGAATCATTGACCTAACATCCAATAGAGATACTCCCATGTCACAAAGATAAAATCGTGAGAATGAAAACCCTCTATAACTTGAAATATATAATATACACAGTATATTTTGATTGTATAAGGGATAATGTACATTATGTAATAGTAACTAAGGTTTCAACTCTAGAGAATTATTTAATCTAAAATTAACATGCTATGATATAATATACATTAAAATTTTAATTTACAGCGATTTTGTTTCTTTGGAGCTTGAATAATTTACAAGGTTTTCTGAGAATGCTTTGGAGAACACAGGTCATAAAAAATAAAGCTATCCAAGGAAGCCTGTGTATGCTTACTCTTTCTTAATTAAATTTCCCTAGAGCAAACAAAAACATTCAAAATCATTCTACCAATACTACGCCTACTTCAAAGCACTGCTTTATGTATTTAATAGATGCTGATTGTTACTGATGGCAAAGTAATATGATGCAATGCTGTTTCACCCATTGAAAAGCATGTTATTTTTAAGTAAAAGCTAAAGCCAGTATTTCTCCCCTTATTCTCTACCTTCTTAGTTTTATATAAGCGTCATCTATTCACTGTCAGATGACATCAAGTCGAAATCAAGTCCAAAGGAAACAATAAACATTCTTAAAAATAATTCCTGTCTATTGTTTGAATTTTAAAGGAGTTTCAAATCCTTCCTCAAATAATCAGTACTTCAGACGTAAGGTAACTAGCTTAAACATTACTAACAGTTGTTTTCCTAAAATTAGATATGAGTGAAATTGTTCGATTCAATGGACTGCAGTAATAAAATCCTGGTGGGAGTGCTAATTAGATAGTATCAAAGGACAGAGACAAGCAGAAAAAGGCAGTGTCTACCACCAAGGAACTTACACAAAGGGGAGGTGACAAAATACACGAAGTAGATAAAAACAAAAAAGGGTAAGGGCTGTAAGGCTAAAGGAGAGTTGCCAGTGGCTTCTACTAGACTCGACGTCCTTTGAGGGGAGGGCTTATGTCTCCTTCCTGGCTTTAACTGGAACAGTGTTTGGTAAACCTCTGTAGCACTGAACTAAATTGAACGTGGGACTTGAGCTGTAGTTCTGAAGGGTGAATCACTGTGAACAGTAAATGGGACAAGCAAGCACTTCAGGGAAGGCCTGAAGTCTTTAGGCTGCTGGGGCGGGGGAGGAGGCTCAGGTGCAGCGAAAGTCACGATGCATTTTCCATTTGCGCTTTTCTTTTCACTCAAAAAAGGACTGTATTAAAGTATTAAGCATAGGCATCCAAGCATTATTAATTTTTAAAAAGTGATGTGCTATTAAAACAAAATTCAAAAGCAATTTTAAAAACTAGATTGTTCACTAGACTATTGGTATTGCTTATTGCTTATTTTAACCCTGATTTTACCCCTCATCTTGGATAGAATTACAATCCTAAAACTTTTTTTTTCCCCCCATTGGAAAGGAATTTGAGTTTTATTCAGGAGGCTGGTCCCCCAATCCTAAAACTCTTAACAGGAGGGCAACGAACGGGCCCTGGCTGGAATACAGAATTTATGCTGAGGAGTACTAGAGATATCTGGGAGTGGTGAGAAGTAAGTGTGGGTGACCAGGATAAACATGATGACTGGTACAAACAAGGGGGAGTATGGGATGGTGATGAGGGATTTGGTTTGAAACAATGGAGGAGAGGTTGCCAGCAACAAATAAAAGTAAAGATTTCAGCTAGGGTGAGAGAAGAGAATCTGAGATTCAGATCGTATTATGATTTTTATAGAATCCATGATTTTAAGGCCACGACTTATCAGTTCCTTAAAGGAATAATTATAGAGGGGCGCCTGGGTGGCTCAGTCGTTAAGCGTCTGCCTTTGGCTCAGGTCATGATCCCAGGGTCCTGGGATCGGGCCCCGCATCGGGCTCCCTGCTCCGCGGGAAGCCTGCTTCTCCCTCTCCCACTCTGCCCCCCTTGTGTTCCCTCTCTCTCTGTGTCTCTCTCTGTTAAATAAATCAATACAATCTTTAAAAAAAAAAAAAAAGAAAGAAAGAAAGAATTATAAAGGGAGGCCATGCCCCAAGCCAGTGCCTAGGAGATCTTGAAACAAAAGGCTAATAGGAGTAAAAGCCAATAATGAATAAAATGCAGAAGAAAGAGCAAAAGTGGTAAATAGAAAAATAGAATTCTGTGATGCCATATAAGGGAAAAGACAGTCCTGAAGTCAGACTGGTCAGGAAGGAATGACTAAGGCAATAAAGGAAAACGGTGACTAACTATGGGCCACTGGCTCTGCTGAGACAGAGGTCATAGGTGACTGACTGTTGGGAGAGCAGTTTCCATAGAGGGATGGAATTAGAGGGCAGATTCTAACAAATGAGGGTGGGTGGAACCCGTGGGTGAACACTGTGTGTTCTAGAAGTAGAGGAACAAGGGGTGGGGGATGAACACATGGTAAAGAAAACACAATGGATATGAGAAGATTTATTCTAGAATTGGGAAGAGGGTTTATGAATGTTGAAAGGTGAAGAGGAGAAACCCGGGAAGCGGAGAGTGGAGACACAGCAGTGTGAGAGCTTAAGTACAGCAGGAAGATATTTATTTTTTGTTTTTCTGTGTTTTTTTAATTTTTTATTGTTATGTTAGTCACCATACAGTACATCATTAGTTTCTGATGTAGTGTTCCATGTTTCATTGTTTGTATATAACACCCAGTGCTCCATGCAGTATGTGCCCTCTTTAATACCCATCACCAGGCTAACCCATCCCCCCACCCCCTCCCCTCTAGAACCCTCAATTTGTTTCTCAGAGTCCATCGTCTCTCATGGTTCGTCTCCCCCTCCAATTCCACCCCCTTCATTCTTCCCCTCCCAGCAGGAAGATATTTAGAAGCTGGGGGTGGGGCGGGCACCAGACTGGACTCAGGAGGGGAGAGTCACTCTTGGTCAGAGACCCTCTCAAAGGCAGCGCTGTGCTGACAGAAAGTGGTCGGTGAGGGTACAGCGGACGGCTTTGATATGGCTGGGCAGCAACACTTGTAGGGAAAGAGACTCCAGACGGGGAATTCAAGTCCTCCCTCGGAGCAGCTGCGTAAGTTGCAACCTCTCTAAAGCCTCCTTGCTCACATCCCACCGGGCATGGTGCTCAAGTAAAGTAAGTGAGGAAATGTGTGATGGCATTTACCACTGGGACACTGAACTGTCTGTCACTGTCCCTCACAGGGAGGGCTACCCGTCACTACCATTTCCCTGTCACCAATGTCTAGCAAAAGGTAGGGCCTCAAATGCCTACAAGAAAATGTGTGAGTGTAAAACAGGAGCAAGTGAGGAGTGTTGGAAAGGGGGTGGGAAGGGGGAAGCAAGGAATGCAGCTACCTGGTTCTTAGAGACCATCAACAATATTTTTTTAGGGCTCTGAATCTCAGTAAACTCAGCGTAGAGGTTTAAAGACAGGAAGATGGTTTAAAACAGCTTCTTCCGGAACTGGGCTAGCAAACTAATTGAAGAAGGAGAAAACCAGGCAGGAGGCAGGCTCAGTCATAGTAGGACAGAACGGATGGGTAGCTGGTCAAGTTAGCACAATTTTGCATCACCCTTAGTATGATATATTCTAACAGCAAAGAAAGCAGGTTGATGAAACAAAATTTCTTTTAAAATCCTTCTAAAAACCATCAAACATTTAACAAATGTAATTTCTACTACAAAAAATTACAATAAAGCATTTCTTTAGCTCATTTTCTTCCCCAATATGTCATGGGTACAGATGATGCCAATTTCTTTTAGAACAACCTTCAGGGTTGCAAAGGAAATTTTAATATACAGATAGGATTCCTGCTGGTGCCTTAACCTAAGACTACCAAGTAAGAGAGTCTATAAACATGTATTCATTTGGAAAAAATATGTTGGTACCTGGCATAGGCATGCAGGGGGTGGGGGACAGGTATCCGGGAAGATGTGTATATTAGGTCAGGTGGGAGAGAGGCATTCAGGGAAAGAACATTGGTGAAGCAGAGATAAAAGCAAGACTTAGCAGATTATGTTTAGGGTAACTGTGTAGGACAGTAATCATGGCATAAGTACATGCTTGGGTACTGTATGGGAATAAAGTTTTTGGGCTGGCTTGCCTCAGTTTAGAATCACAGAACCTTCTTTGGGGAATAAACCTAAGGAGTTTTATAAACTATCTATCTACACTCCCCAATATATTTCCTAAAAATATGATGAGGAAGTCATTTGAAAATTAGCTACTTAAGTACAAGTCTTAAAAAGGGGATACCACCTTTGCAGTCACTTCAGTTTCTTAATAAATTATTTTAGAAATAATTACCTACCTATTTTGACTCTCCCCCTTTCAGGACCTTCTCCCATTACTAGGATATTTGCTGGTTTCTAGAAATAAAAATAGAGCATTCAAATTACTATGTTTATTCTTTTGACATGCTCTAAAATGGAAAGAAGTTCTTAAAATATGAAAATATCACTTCTGTATTTGCATCAAAACCATAAGAGAATATTAAGTACCTTCTATATAAAAGCATTTGACATACTTGAAGTTAGCACTAAACTCCTATAAACATCTTTGCTGTGAAAACATTTTCAAAATTATATCATACAAGTAATTATAAAGAAATTGAAGCTATCATTTTTGTTTACCCCACAGAAGTAACAAGTAATAATAATTTTTTTAAAACCTGCACATATTATAAACTGTCCACTTGCTGCCCACAACAAAGAGTTTTTGGGATTGAAAATTTTTATGTAAAATTTCCAACCACAACATCATTGCCTCCATTTAAATGAATCAAATGGAATATTCCTTGCTCAATATTTCTAAACTACTATAGGAAAACATGATCAACATTCAACAGACTCCATTAAAATCCACATGCATTTTCAGCTATAGTTCACGCAAAAGTGAGAAATTCCAAATAGGGGGCGCGTGGGTGGCTCAGTCGTTAAGCCTCTGCCTTTGGCTCAGGTCACGATCCCAGCGTCCTGGGATCGAGCCCTGCATCAGGCTCCCTGCTCCGCAGGAAGCCTGCTTCTCCCTCTCCCACTCCCCCTGCTTGTGTTCCCTCTCTTGCTGTGTCTCTCTCTGTCAAATAAATTTAAAAAGAAAGAAAGAAAGAAAGAAAGAAAGAGAAAGAAAGAAAGAAACTCCAAATAGAATTTCAAGATGTAGGAAAATAAAAACCAGGGCTAATACAGAGCTATATAAAGAAAAGAATAAGCTGCAAATGTATCTGCTGTTTTTTAAGTCATCCTCATTTGTAGATATTTAGAAAGAGAGGAACTGTGGAAACAGGCTTTTGGGCAAGTCAGTCTCCTCTGTAAACTATCTAGGGAGAAAATTTACGATTCATTTATTCAATCAATGAATATATTTTTAGCATCTTCTAGGGACAAAAAACATATTAACAATAAAGAGGAAACACAAGCGCCTGATGAACCAAATTCCTAACCTCCAGATGCTCATTATATAAATAGAAATAAAAAACAGGAGCTTTGTATCTTAAAAGCTAATGCCATTTATGAGTTACAGAGAGGAGCGAGGTCTTGGGTTAGAGGTTAAACCAGATTACTTTTAGATCCCTTCCAATTTGCTGGCTCTTTTTGAAGTTTCGATGAAAACAATAAGCCTTTAAAAAGAAAAAAACAGTTCAAAGGAGGAAGTGATTAACCAGAGTTTCCACTGTTGAGGGAAATATTCATTGGATGTGAGGGCAAGGGTGGTGTCCATTATCCAGATCCTGAAAAATGAACAGGAACTAGCATGGTGGAGTAGAAGGGCAACAGAACAACAGGAGGTGAAAAAGGGCTATGAACAAGCTAGGCTTAGGAGACAGTAACCTAGACAGAACTCTGGACAGAAACCAGAGGACTCATGTTGGGGGTAGTAAAGTGCACCTAGACTCAGGATAGCCTTAAATGCCAGGTGAAGTCATCTGACCTTTATATGACAGGCCGTGAGATGATAGGAGAGGGGGCAGTAGCAGAACTAGGCTCTGTCCAAGGTCTTCTCCACTGAAACAGAGGGGGAGGTATGGAGCTGAGTAACCCTGTGAAGGAGAAATTAACAGGACTTTGTGACTAGTTGAAGTCAGAAGACTAAGACAAAGGGTGATAAAAATTTCAACAAGGTTTTGAGTTTCTGTAACTGGAAGAATGATGGTGCCTTTATTATGAAAAAGTTATGAGAGGTCCTGGCTAGGAAGGGGGAATAATGTGAGATGCCTAAGTCCCACTAGCCAAGGGAATGGAAATAGGAAGATTTGGATTTGCGTCATTGTCACTGGAGTATGATGACTGAAGAAGACAGGAGACAAAATTAGTTTATCACAGCCAAAAGAGAAAATAGCACTAGACGAAACCCAGACCTGCAAGGGTTCAAGTTTGACAGCAATTTATCAATGATCCATTATAGATAAAACACTGTACTGCAGACTTTCTGGAAAGAAAGAAAAATAAAACTTGAAGCTCTTGACTTCAAAGAGCTTTCAAATCTACTAAGGAAAGACAGACAAACTGCTTTTTGGAATATTAAGCAGGTTATGAAAAGTACCAAAATAAACCAAAAGAAAGTAGAAGTAAAAAGATAACGGCAAGGGCAGAAATCTATGAATGAGACAGTATTTATGAAGCCTCTAGGACAACTACTCCAAGAGAAGAGAAGGTACAAATAAACATTACAAATTACAAGAATGACCATAAAAACAGATTAAAAGGATAAAAGAACCCCACAAAGAACTTTATATTGATTAATTTAAAAATGTATACAAAATAGACGAAGTCAAGAAAATGTAACCAACAAATTGACTCAAAATGAATTAGAAAAGCTTAAGAAACCAATATGTGCTAAATAAATTGAAAGTTAAAAATCTTCCTACCAAGAAAACACTGGACCTCAAATCATCACAAAAGCAAGTTCTCCAAATTTTTAATGAACAGACTGTTCAATCTTATTCAAACATTTGCAGAGAATAGAAAAAGAGGGAATGCTCCCAATACATTCTAGAAGGCCAGTATAATCTTGGTAGCAAACCCAAAGTATGAGAAAGAAAAATTTCAGGCCAACCTCATGAATATAGATACAAAAATACTCATGAGTATAGATGCAAAAATATTAAACAAAATATTATTAAGTCAAAAGCCATTAACAGGAATTCCAGGATGGCTTAACATGACAAAGCCTATATATGTCCATCACCATATTAACATATTAAAAAAGAAAGATGATATAATTATGTTGGTAGAGGCTGAAAAAGCAGTTGATAAAACTTAACAGCCATTCTATGATAAAATCTCTCAGCCAGTTAGACTAGAAAAGTACCTCCTTAAACTGATAATGGGTATGTACCAAAAACTAAGAAGTAACATGGGAAGCATTCCCTTTAAAATCAGGACTAATGGGGCGCCTGGGTGGCTCAGTCGGTTAAGCGTCCGCCTTTGGCCCAGGTCATGATCCCAGGGTCCTAGGATCGAGCCCCACATCGGGCTCCCTAAGCGGAGCCTGCTTCTCCCTCTCCTCCCCGCTTGTGCTCTCTGTCACTATCTCTGACTCTCTCGCTCAAATAAATAAATAAAATCTTTAAAAAAAAAATCAGGACTAATGCAGGGATACCCACCATTACCACTTCTAAAATCAACATCACACTGTTAAGTCTAGTGCTATAAAACAATAATTAAAGGGATATGGATTGGAAAGGCAGAACCAAAATTACTGTTCATTGCAGATGATGTAATTATTTACATAAAAACTCAAAGTATTTACAGACAAATTATTAGCAATAGTAGGAGAGTTTAGTAGGATGTTTGCCTAACCGAAAAATATGAAAAAGTCAACCGTATTTCTACATAACAGCAAAAAAAAAAGAAAGTAGGAAATAAAATTTTTCAAAGGCAGCATTTCCATAGCAATAAAAAAAACTATTAAGGCACCTAAGAATAAATACATTAAAGGATGTACAAGATTTTTATACAGAAAATCTTGAAACTTGATCTTAAATGACATTACTAAGTCCTAAATAAATTAAGGGGCCATGTTGATAGATAAGAGGACTCTATATATAAAGATACCAATTTTCCTCATACTTATCTGTAAATTCAGTGCAATTTCAATCAAACTTCCATCAAAGTTTTGTATGTGTGTGTGTGCGTGTAAACCTGAAAAGCTGATTTTAAAATGTATGTGGAAAATAAAATAAAATAAAATGTACATGGAAGAGCAAAGACCTAAAGATGGCCAAGATACTCATGAAGTGCTAAGGGTAGGGGATGAGGAGATGCATCTGGCTCAAAACAGGACATCACAATTTATTTTAAAGCCATAGTAATTAAGACAGTGTGATACTGTTACAGAGAGAGACAAATGGATCAATGGAATAGAATGGAGAGCCCAGAAAGACCCATGATACTGGGAGAAGAGGAACTTCAGGTCAGTGGAGAAAAGAGGAACCATTCACTAAATGGTGTTGGCACAACAGGTCATCCAAATGAGAAAAAAAATAAAATAAAATGAATGCTTACCTCATACCATACACACAATTTCAGGCAGATTAAGGATTTAAACATGCAAACCTTTAAAACTGGGGGGGTGGGGGGGGTAGGGAGAATGTAGAGAATATATTTCTGACCCTCAGGTAGGAAAGAATTTCTTAAACAAGATTTAAAAAAATCAGAAAAGAATAGACTGATAAATCTGGCTATTATTAAAAATAACTTTCAATCATCAAAAATAAAGAAAATAAAAAGACAAAGCACAAACCAGCAGAAGTATTTGCAATATACATCAGTAACGAAGATTTTGTATCCAGAATAAAAAACTCCCACAAATCAATATAAAAACAACCTAAGAGAAAAATGGGTAAAATGTCCAAACAGGCATTTAACAAAAGAAGAAAGATTTAACCACCAAGCATATGTAGATGCTCAACCTCATCAATAATGGGGGAAATGGAATTAAAATCACAGTGAGATACCATTTTACACCAGGTATATTGGTTAAAAGTTAAGAACTGTTGAGTAGGAAGCAGGTCAGGGGGAATTCCAATACACTGTTGGTAAGAGAATAACTTGGTACAACTTCTTTGGAAAACAATTTGGCATCATCTTGCAAACCTGAACAATTACATACCCTTTGACTCAGTAATTCCATTTTTAGACACACCAGAGAATGTTCATAGTAGCATAGGTTGTAATACAAAAAAAATCTGTGGACACAACCCAAATTCCTAGCTAATAGAAAAATGGAGAAATTAATTTTGGTAGAATCACACAATGCATTTTAAAATAGCAGTGAAAATTTTGGAGTTACTAATAAAGGTAAAAAAAAAAAAGTTTGAATCTTAGAAGCATTATGTTGAGTAAAAAAAGCAAATTTAGAAGACTAT